GTGCTATGGCCGCTGCTCATCTCTCCAAAAGGATTCATGCCATCCGTACTTAAACCAAACCGTATGTTTCATGCGTCCTTTCCAAAGTCTTTAAATTTTCTGTCGATGTTTCGCTACTGCGAACCATCGGCAAGGTGTCTCAGCATTCCGTCCTGTTGACGCTCTTCAGCGTGCCATCGCATCATTCTAGCATTCCCCTTGTTCCTGAACAAACGCCTTAGCCGTGGTATTATAGGGAAATACCACATCACTTTAGCAGGAATTCTCTTCTTTGTTAGCTGCCCGTCAACTTCTCCTGGATCGTCTCGTCTAATCTTGTATCGTAGTATTTTGCAAATAGGGCATGCTTCTAGGTTCTCGTCTAATCATCCGGACATGCGTGAATCTTCTGAACTTTCAGTCCTAGAGGGCAGACTATCTTCTTAGCCTCGTACGTTGTCTCGGGCAATTTGTTTCCCTCCGGAAGAATGTTCTTGACGAGTCTCAATAAATCGCCAAATGCCTTGTCACTAACACCATTTTTTGCCTTCCATTGCAAGAACTCAAGAGTGGTATCCAACTTTTTGTGCCCCTGCTCGCAACCTAGGTATAACGACGTTCTGTGGTCCTTTAACATCTTGTCCAATTTATGGGCCCCCTTTTCACTTTCGCAGTCCTCCTTGGCGTCCTGCAACATCTGACCAAGATCATCCGCAACGTCGTTACCATCAGCATCCCTTTCCTCCTCGCCCGTTTGATTTCCTTCAAATCCAGCGTACTGAGCAAAGTCCGGAATATTGTCGTCTTCCACTTCATCTTCTTCCATTTCAACCTCTTGCTCTCCGTGGGATGTCCAACAGTTATAGCTTGGCATGAAGCCCGACTCAAACAAGTGGAAATGAATAGTCCTGGATGCAGAATACTTCTTTTGATTTTTACACTTATTGCATGGACAATAAATAAAACCCTTATGCCTGTTAGCTTCGGCCACTCTCAAAAAATAATGCACGCCGTCAATAAACTCTTTGGACCGCCGGTCAGCGTACATCCATTGCCGATCCATCTACATAAGATGAAAAAAAATCGTACACAAATAATTATTCGTACAATAATGACAGTCATACAATAATTATAAAATAATTACAAACTCTTTCAACAGTCATACAATAATGACATATCATTATTCATACAAAAATTATAAAATATTACACCAAATAATTCTTATTTACTATTTCTAAAGTTTTAAACTAATATTAATGTGTTGTACTTCTTTTAATTTTCATTTTAGTTTGTTTTCTATTATTTAAGATTAACTTTCACTATATTTTCATTCTCAACTATTTTATAAAACCTTCTTTAGCAAATAAACTAAATTTCTATATATTCTTTCTTCCCCACACAAATTTTCTCTCTCATCAACTTACAACTAAATTTTGGACACAAAAAAGTGTGCAAAACATAGCTCCAAATGTAATATGACAAAAAAAACATTGGAGGATGAAGTTGCTAACCTTTTAGGCACCTCCGATTTGTATATAATCACCAAAATAAATTCACTAGAAATTTTGGCATGACCTCCCCTCTTTTTTGAAGAAATTTTGAAGCTTGTACGGGCAGCTGGAGGAGGAAGAAGACCTATATATAGGGGTGGGACTTTAGTCCCGGTTGGTGTTATGAACCGGGGCTAAAGACCAGGATCTTTAGCGCCGGTTCATAACACCAACCGGGACTAAAGTTACGATCTTTAGTCCTGGTTGGTTGGTGTTACTAACCGGGACTAAAGATCCCGGGGGGCCTGACAAGCCCTGACAGCATTTGAACCGGGACTAAAGATGAAATATGCCCGTTACCCTTTTTAACCGGGACTAAAGATCATCTTTAGCTCTAGTTTTTATTGCAACCGGGACTATTGTGAAGTTCGGCCGACCGACTAAAGATAGTTTCTCCACCAGTGTATGTAGCAGCATATAAGGTGCACCGTTTTGACAAACCAGTTTTTTAGGAAGTTTCAATATCCTCGCAAGATGGTTTGAATGGTGTGGTAGTGCATGATTCCATCCTCTAAGGGCAGTCCCAACCCATAGTGTCCATAAGCAGTGTCTATGGTGCCATGTCAATAAGACATCACAATAGAAACTACACTCCATAACCCATGATTTCTTAAAGTGGGCCATTAATAAATACATCATCTCTCTTCTCTACCAATCATATTTATTCTTCATCTATTATGAAGACACTATTCTCTCCCAATGCAAAATTTGATAGTGTCTAGTGCATAGGTTCTTGTGTTGAAGCTGTGTCTTGCATGAGACCCAGTTTCTTCCTCTCTTCACTCTCTCTCTTAATTAATATAGTGCCACATAAGCTAAAAGTCCTACATGGCAATGTAGTTAATACCATAGACACCATCCTAGGTGGAGGGTTGGGACTGCCCTAAGGTTAAAATCTTAGTGCCCATAAATATTACGGATATGTAGGTGGGCTTTCAACGAGAATTTAGTGAGATCATGGATGTCTACTGATTTTTTTTTGGTCTCAGGTCATTCCCAATCCAAAACACTAGACATAGTTTCCATAAACTTCACATCATCGAGAAACTAATACTAGACACCACTCTTCCAATGCAAACACCACTATTCCATACTTAAATTTAATGCTACTTATCTCACATGATGTCTTGGATGTTATGTAGAAACCATGTCTCATGCAAGACATGGTTTCCTTCTCTTTCCTCATTTATTCACTTGCCACATCACTTTTCACCCTATGTGGCAGCTTATTTAATATTATAGACACCATCCTAGTCATTGGGTTGGGAATGGCCTCATAGAGCATATGTGAGGGGGGCGTATTCACGAGATATGAGTGTGGTGTTGCGGGTGTAGTAGCATGTATATATATGTACATCTACCTTGTAATAAAAAAAAGTTTGCATGCCTCATAATAAATAAATATTTCTAAGAAAGGATGAAAATTATTCCGAAAGTACATGGCGCATAGGCCAAGCCCCATGCTTAGAGCAAGTTTAATATTACAGCTAACTACTAACTCCAATTCATCTGTACCAATCTAATAGCCCATTTATACAATAGTTATATACTACACTATTAATACCTGGTCTCACCTGTAATACACACCCCGTGTTACAGCTGGCTATAAATCTGTAGCCCGCTGCTGTTCTCTCTCCTTATTTATCTTCTTAAAATATGTTTGAAGCTGGTTTATAGCCTGCTATTGTACCTGCTCTTATAACCCGCAGTTATCACAGCACGATCTTCCCCAAAAGGCAGTGTTTCTATGTGACATCTCAAGTTGCTAATCACTGCAACTGCTACTGTTTGATAGTAGTTGATCTCATCATCATCATATCACGCTATTTTTCATGTTTATAGACTTTAGTTTTGGTATGATGAGGAGAGCCCGTGGACCAGTGAAAAAGATCGAGGTGCAGTGGGGTTCGCGAGGGCCCCCCGTGTGACCCGGATGGATCACCGATGACATCAGCATGACGCGAGGATGACGGCATGCACACAGGATAAACCGGGCCTTAGAACTGACTCTTTGATCTGCAAGTTCATCAAATTCAGAGGTGATTCGAGAAATGACTCTTTGACCTCGATCTGAGTCTGCAATTCTTTTTTTTAACAAATTAGCATTTAGAGTGCACCAATTTGATTAAATAGAGTATAAGTAAAATGATGCAAAGGGAACTTTACATGAGAAAAAGGAAAATAAAAATTAAAGCAAAATTTGTGTTAGGTTTTTAGCTCCAGCAAGGGTCAAGTCTTGGCCTCCTTCTTAATTTTCACCACGAGAGCAATTGTTGAGAGTTCTTTGTGATGGAACACGATCTAAGTCTGGAAATGAATAATGCGTGTACATAGTCAATCCTTCAAGAGGGATTAAAAAAACAAATCCATTTTTTAAGGTCAAATACATTTTTCTGGGTAGGAAAATGGGCATAGCTCGACTGACAATTTAGGTGTTGTGCCCAGGGCACATCTTGCTTGTGCTATGGGATTTGGCAGTTTAGGTGAGGATCTTTTTAACTTTTGGATAATATTTAGAAAATAAATCCGTTTAGAACTTGTTTGAAACAACTAATCGAGTATAACTTATATTCGAGTTCTATGCTTAGTGTGAATGCTGGTTGTTCCCTCGAGATTGAATCCTGGGAGAGGTAACATATGCACAGTTTGAGTGCATTTAGTAGTAAACAAAATATGTGCCCACGCTACATGAAGCTAGATTCTATCTACTCTACATTAAGTTAGATTCTGTTAGGACATATCCACATGACTGTGATGTACATTTTTCACCACTGAAGGAGATATCACCTTTTTATTTTGTATATCACTTAAATAATCATTATTTTTTAAAAAAGAATGACTAATATGATAAATCAATATGAGATATGTCATTTCACAAATATGCAATTTCAAATTCAACCTACATAAGTAGAAACAAAAATAAATAGTGTGTACGCGTATAAGTTAAATTTGAATTTGTATGTTTGTGAAGTGATATATCACGTATTAATCTATCTTTTTTTTTAGTTTTGGATCAAAATATATAAAACGAGCGGATAACTCCTGAAGGATAAAAATCCACCTCACATGTATCAGCACTTGTGAGTTATAATCAGCTTCTCACAGTAAAACAGGAAACGGTTAAAAAAAAGACGGTTAAGTCAAATGTAACAGGAACAGAACCACGCTCTTGGCATGGCATGGCATGACGACATGCTCGCCAACTAGAATACGGTCAAGTCAGGCAAGCGGCGACACGCCGTCGCCACGCCCACGCGCGCGCGCCCGCGCCCGCGTCAAGCCCAAACCCAGGGCCAAAGTCTCGCCCTGCACCGCCGCACGCGAACCCCCCCCCCCCCCCCCCTCCTCCCCCGGAAACCGACACGCGCGGCGCGCCACGCGCACGCCACACGCGCCTGCGGCGCCACTGCTGACCGCTGCGTCCGCCGAGCTAGACGCAACAGAACGCATCGCGCTTCGCATGCAGCTGTATTCGTCTCACCTGATTTTTTTTTTCTCAATTTTTTGTCAAACATTCGGTGCATCAACCATGACCATGTATGCATTCTAACCAAGAAAAGATTGGGAAAAAAAACACATGGGAAGCTAAGCTACTACGCTAGTTAGGAATCCGCGAGAGAAGAAGAAGATGAGAGTTGATCTATGTGGATCGCGTCAGATGATCCAGACGTCTTGATCGTCGAAGCTGGCGTCGTGGTAGTAATGGTCGAACGGGTCGACGTCGACGTCGACGTCCACGCCGGCGCCGGAGATGAGGCCGTTCCAGCCGACGTCCATGATGCCATCCATGCCGAACATGTACATGGGCTCCGGCCACTCCGCCACGTCCACCGCCGAGGCAGCCGACGCCGACGAGGAGCAGGACGGGGAGAGCACCGAAGCAGGGGAAACAGAGCAGTTGCTCGTGGCGGCCTCGGCCGCGGCCGCCGGCGGTGGCGCGGTGATCTCGTGCGGCTCGATCAACGGCGAAGGCTCCTGCTCCTCCTCCTCGCTCTCCTCGATCTCCTGAGGCGGCGGCGGCGGCGGCGGCGGCGTGGCATCCTGCTCGCGCGGCGGAGGACGAGGCGGCTCCAGCGGCTGGTGGGTGACGGGGTCGATGCCCATCTTGCGGAGCTTCTTCTTGATGTGTGTGTTCCAGTGGTTCTTGATCTCGTTGTCCGTCCTCCCGGGGAGCCGCGCCGCGATCTTGGACCACCTGCGCCCACCGGCGACGCCAATCAGTCACCGAGAACGAACCAAAAATCGAAAAGAAATCCGCCATGAACGTGATCTCACACACACAAACACACCTGTTGCCGAGCTGCGCGTGCAGGTCGATGACGAGCCGCTCCTCGTCGTCGGAGAGGAGGCCCCTCTTGAGGTCGGGCCTCAGGTAGTTGGTCCACCTCAGCCTGCAGCTCTTCCCGCACCTCAGCAACCCTGCAGATGCGCCCATGAACGACACCGTCAACATGCAATTCGCGTATGGGGGGCATCAATGGCGAGCGAGCGAGCGAGCGAGCTTTCTTTCCTGACCTGCGAGCTTGGGGACGACGCGCCAGCAGCAGTGGCCGTGGGTGAGGAGGAAGGCGACGAGCTTCTGGTCCTCCTCCGCCGTCCACGGCCCCTTCTTCAGCCCCACCTTGTCGCAGCACGGCTGCCTCCCCATCACACACACACACACACAAAAACCTCCTACCTAGCTTCTTCTCGCCTTTCTGGCTGCTGCAACCTGCAACAACCAGCAGCAAGACGGCAATGGTGTTCGTTCACTCTGTTCTTCGGCGTGACGGCCCTGCCTGTCTCTGTTCCAGGTAAGATCGGCGGGTGCACCGGAGTTGCATTTTATAGAGAGGGATCATCAGAGAGGAAGAAGAAGGGTCAGGTCGTCAGGTGAGAGGAGGAGCAGCGGAAGAGAGAGAGAGGTGTGGGGGAGTGAGACGGGCACGTGGCGGGAAGGGAGGGCGAGGCGAGTCGTACGTGTGAGGCCGTCTCTGAGCGCGCCATGCCGACGGAAACAGTGGCCGGGCTCAGGCTTGGGCTCCGGTGAGGCGGTGACGCGCCACTGGACTGGCTGGATCATGGGTGCTTTGTACATTTGGAGTTTCTTGGTGATTTAACGGGTGGATGCTCAATTGCTCAGTGCCCTTTTCTTTTTTTTTTCTTGGTTTCTTTCTCATTTTTCATCTTTGGTTCTGGTCTTGTGGGATCTCTGTAGTCTGCACTTGAGATTCTCTCTGCTAGGGCTGTCAAGCGGGCCCATGTGTCTTCGTGTTTAACACAAGTAAAGCGAGTATCCTTCGACCCTTAATTGCACGTCTGTTTAGTAAAAGATCTAGAATAATAGAAAGTAAATATGGGCTAAAGGCTCCTTGAACGAAGGAATTTTATAGGATTGGATTGTGTGAGAAAAAGTCTTATATGGTCAATTGAAACAAAATGAACGACTTCACCAAATCCATTTGAAATTCCTTGGATGCCTCATGCCTCAAACATAGGGATTTTGGATTTTTTTTTGTTCAACCTCCTGGCAAAAAAATTGTGTCAATTTCTCTCTTATGAATTCATATGTTTTTTCTATGCTCCGTCCAAACGATAATTGCTATAGCTTTTCTCTATGCTTTTTAACCATAGGATTTGGAGTGACAAGGCACTCGAATCCTACCTTTTTATCATATGTTTTGGAATTCATGCGTTCCAAAGTAACCCTAAAGCCTAAAGAGAGAACTGCGCCATAGGAACTCTCCTATGTCGGATGGCTTGCATTTGAATCTCAACAGGTGCACTCACTGTATATTGAGTATATTGATGTGAAAGTTACTCCTTTCATATATGTTAGAATAGATGTCAAATATACTAGTCCTATATGGTTACAATTGGACTTGGAGTTACCTTTTAAGTCGTGCTCCCCCATCATCAATTACCGATGTGAGACTAAACCCAACAATATCTATCGTTTAATGTAAGGTCAAGGAGGTTTAAGGCTCCGTTCGTTTCCACATTTAGCATTTGCTACTTTCTCGTTTTTCAAATTACTAAACGTGTGTTTCTTTTAAAAACAATTTTTCAAATCTGTAATTATTAATATTCAATTAATCACGTGCTAATAGTTTTGCTTGTCTTACGTGCATGTTCATATTCAATGTTTGATCGTTTGTCTTTTTTGAAAATTTTCTACGATTAATATTTTGCTTGTTATTAGATGATAAAACATGAATAACACTTTATATGTGATTTTTTTTAATTTTTTATAAATTTTTTGAATAAGACGGACGGTTAAACATTGGATACGGATGTTAAGGCTGCACTTGTTTTAAAACGGAGGTAGTACGTGAGATGAGATGGTCCAAACTGAAATTCACTCAATTTAAAGTTTACCTCACTAACGATCAATTCAGCCCCAATAGACCTATGTTTTACGCATACTATGGTTTTGTTTTTCTATCCTGTGTGCTTGAGGTTATTGGCTCCCAATCCGTCGTAAAAAAAAAATCAAATGTGCTCTCAAAGAGCAAAATAAATCCAACCCTAGCATCACACTCTGCGCCAGCAAGTCGTTGGTCGTTGCCGTGGTTACAAACGGCAAGGTCAAATGTGCGGTCACTCCACTGATTACAAAGGCTCCCTGTTTGGGTTCGCGGGGAAACGAGGATGTCAACGATGTTTTCTCGGGAAGAGCAGCTGCATGAACCTCGTTGCCCTGGGTATTGGTGAAGAACCGAAGAAGATATCAATAAATAATAAAAACTTGGAAGGTTAAAAATGAAATATCACTTTCAACTACCCATCCCATGGTGCTCACAAAGTACATCAAAAAGACCTGTAGGGGAAAAAATTCAGGATGGCTTAAATGGTTGTCGATAGATAGAATTTTTTTATCAAAATCATGCAAATTACTAATCTTTAGATTTACTTCGCGATTCGTGCTCTAACCCCAGCTCCGACGACATATTCTTCTCTAACTCCGATAACCCTGACGAAGACAGTGGAGCTAGGCTTTAGAATCCTGGGTTAGGGTAGAAGTGGGAGGGTGGTGGCTGGAGGGGAAGAGGGGGAGTTTGATGGGCTTAGAGCGGTGGACATGGGAAACGATGGCCCGACGATGAGTAGTGTGGACACCGGCAGGCAGCACCGAAGCCACAGCGATGAAGAAGAGCAATAGGCCGGCGTTGGTGGCAGGGACAAATCGAAACTTATGGTTAGGAGGCGGTGGCTGGTGACGGTGGTGGTGGATCCGGTGACAGGGAGCCATTGAAGACGGGGAAGATGATAGTGTGGGGGCACTCGCGCCACTGCTTTTGGGGGGGGCGAGGAGGAGGCCAGCCAATGAGGCCGGGTGGCGCCGCGTGGGGTGGAGGCAGAGGCATTGTGTACTCACGTGCGACGGCAATGCTCAGAATGACTAGAGGAGGAAGGAAGAGTTAGGGTTAGAAATATAGTGTATGAGTCTTAAAGCGATCAAACGGTCTAGAATTTGTCGAATTTGCGAGTTGTTTCTCTACCAAATACCAGTCAGCAGAAGATGTCACTTTTCTTCGTTTCTTACGATAGGACAAGTGTTAGGAAATGATAGGCAAACAAACAATAAAGAACAATAGATCAATCACAGAAGATACGAGATTTAACGTGGAAAACCCTCCCAAAGTAGGAGAGAAAAAACCACGGGCACCAGCCAGCAAAATATCTTCACTATATCGAGGGTGAGGTTACAACGCCGCACGGCGGCTTATAAGAGGTATATATACGGTGGAACCCTAAAAAAGATGAAGTGCAAATGAATTTGGATCACAACTCAACAACAAGAAGGTAGTTTTGAGCAGCTGAGAGAACGTCTTGAAACTCAAATGGTACAAACGGTTTAACAAAGCATGATCACTACAGAATATAGTCTATAGTATGAAATGAGCATAGTAAGACCATAAAAATTCAGTTAAAGATGAACTTAATAGAGCATGTAAGACAAGAACTTTATTAATGGGACACATTGACCGAACAGGATAACGAAGAAGGTGAGCACGGACTGCACGATAGAAAATAGATCCTCTGGCTTCATGAGGAAAATACATAGGCAGAGAGTAAAATGAGTCTGATGCATGTGGATTAAGATCCTCTGGATGTATCTCTACGCCCCTCTCGATCTGCTTCTGCCAGATGTTTTAGAGATTTACTAATGACTAGTATGGTGTAAGCCATTGTTTCTTGGCTGGCAATTTTACTGTTTCAATTATCCATCTGTTGCAAATCAAATGGCTTGAGACCTCCTAGTGTTATATTTGCACTGGTAAAGTATATAGGCAGTGAAAATATCTTCACGCATTGCTGGGCTGGGAGCACACGCAATCAGCCACGTAGGTCCAGGACGCCGCACACTGAGCCGACGAGCTCTCAGCCATGACACGTCGAGCATCCCATCCCATGTACGCCAACGAGCCAGCTATCCCCCACGACACAATGCCGTAACACGCCGTAAGATCCGCGCGATCCGGCGTCCCGTTCGTGCGACCGCGACTTGTGGCTGGCTCCTCTGCGCGTGCGCGTGCGCTTCTGGACGGTTCCGCGCGGCACGGTCTCCTCCTGGGTCTCTGCACGGCCGGCGCGCCCGCGCGACGTGTTGACCCGCGGCCGCGCAAGCTCCCGCGGGCGATTGGTCGCCGGGGGCTTTTGCAGCTCAACACCGGACAGGGGACAGCTAGCGACACGGAGAGCTGGCACCCATTGATCTGGGAATGTTCCAGACCGAATGTTGGTAAAGGGCGAAAACGACATGGACATTTTGTTCTAACAAATGGTGAACCTGGAGCTGATTAGCGTGCTGTATGGAAGATACTCTCAGAGAGATGTTTGGAGTTTGCGAAAGAAAAGGAGAGAGAGAGGGGGATGGCAAGTAGCCAAATACTCGTAAGTAGCATTGTGAAACGGAGGGAGTAGTAGAAGTGTATGCAACAAGTTTAGTAGATAATAAAATATTTAGTACAAGCTTAGATATGTTTACATATGTGAATTATTGGTCTGTAGTTTTTCTTTTAGAAAAAGAATACCTTGCATGATGTTCACACGTGAATGAGCGTAGGTGATTGATTCATATCAAATTCTCAATCATGCATACTAGTACAATGTTTGAGTTGAGGATACTGTTTATGTTTCTTCAAGTTTTTATACTATATATGGTCTACTTAATTAGTTGATATTGGGCACAAATGTGGCATTTATGTCCAATAGAAGGTTCCCATAGGTTGCTAGCGGATGATTAGAAGCCGTTATAAAAAAATTAGCAGTAAAACTTATATATATGTGTGTGTTGTTAACGACTAAAGTCAATATAAAAAAGAAACTACCTTAAAAACATCAAAATCAATTTTAAAATTTAGTTTTAAAATTTAAATTATAGCAGTGACTTATCAATCATAGAGAAAGGATAAGGGCCGAAGGGGCAGCGATATGGAAGAACTGACTCATGGCTCTCTGATTTCAGAATTCAGAGAGGCACATAGGCCGGCACTCACACCAAGTGCGCAATAGCGAGTTTCAGACAGATGCCTTTTTCTTCTTCCCGCTGTAACCTGCACACACGCGTGTTACAAGGGGCCTCTTGAACCGAATGCAAATGTAGCGTCAAGCTAGCACACGATGAAATCAGAGTTTATTCGGGACGACGATACAGCAGATAGCACTGAGGATGTGTGCATCAAAGCTGAGTCATGATCAAACCAGATGCGCGCACAGTAATAGTGTAATACACAGCACAAAGAGAGAACTTGGTACATGGAAGCATAGAAAGAACAACATGATGTCAGCTTAGTGGACATTCAAACTTACGTTTTCAAAACAGAACAATGTAATCAAAACTCAAATTGAATTATGTTAACCATAGTCTCCGCTTTCTTGAACTATTTGGTGTTAGGGTGTGTTTAGTTCGTGAAAAAAAAAATTTGGGTGTCACATCAGACGTTTGATCGGATGTCGGAAGGGGTTTTCGGATACGAATGAAAAAATTAATTTCATAACTCGCCTGGAAACCGCGAGACGAATTTATTAAGCCTATTTAATCCGTCATTAGCACATGTGGGTTACGGTAGCATTTATGGCTAATGATGGACTAATTAGACTTAAAAGATTCGTCTCGCGATTTTCATGCAAACTGTGTAATTAGTTTTATTTTTTATCTATATTTAATGTCCAAGCATGTGTCCAAAGATTCGATATGATGTTTTTGGGTAAATTTTTTTAGAAACTAAACAAGGCCTTAGTGTCAAAATCCAGTCTTCACATTGTAGAAAAAAAATAGAAAAAGAAATAACAAAATTCCCAGGCCACAAGTTCCTACAACTTCCTAGCCCACCGTCTTGCAGAGGCCCAGATCCTTCATCCAGGCCCACCCAACTGAATCTCTGAACTTAACGATCACGACACGACTAGCATGCGGGTGATCATCAATCTACACCATGTCAGCGAGCGGCGGCGGCGGCGCTCCGATCGATCCCGAGAACCACGGCGAGATCCGCGCCCTGCACAGCGGGCACGTGCTCTTGCTCTTGATCCACAGCGCGACGCAGTCCCGGTGGAACACGTGGCGGCACTCCGGCAACTCGCTGCACAGCTCGCCGCGCCGGAGCCGCTCCAGGCAGATCGCGCACTCCACCGACAACGACGCGCTGGCGCTGCCACCGCCCCGCGGCGCGTACGGGAAGTGCGGCAGCTGCTGCTGCGCCGCCACCACCTCCGGCGCCGGCGGCTGATCAGCCTGATGAGTCCCTAAGCTCACGCCGCCGCCGCCGCCGCCCGCGGAGGGCCGGAACGGGCCGGCGGCGTACGGGAACGGGAAGTACGACCGCACCTCCACCGCCGCCACCTGAACCTGAGCCTGAGGTCTCCCGGCGTCCTCGCCGCCGGCGCCAGCCGCCGCCTACTGCCGCTCCGCGTCGCGTTCGCGTTCGTAGCGACAGGAGTTGCAGGCTCCGATCACGACTACGATCGCGATGAGCGCTTCGCACATGAGAAAGAACGCAAAGGGATCCGGCATCGTCGCACGCCAATGTGCGCGCGCGCGCGCCAGCGAATTGTACTAGCGCTTGTGTTCGTCCAGGTGATCGATCATATACGGGAATCAAATCGATCGATCGATCTGTTCGATTTCTTGCTTGGGAGGTAAATAATTAGGTGATCCTTGTACCGTCCGGCTGGCCGATGCTTGTTTTCGATTCAGAAACTGCCCAAATCTAGGCGGCACTGGGCCTAGGAAAAGGCCCAAATATATCTTTCTCGGCTCATAGGCATTTAAACAAGATTCAGTTATTTTTTAAAAAATATATATATTATTAAAATAAGTTTGTAAAAATAATAGTCTATAAATATCTTATTATACTATCTCGCTTTTTTAAATACTCCCTCCGTTTTTAATAGATGACGCCGTTTACTTTTTTCTCACATGTTTGACTATTCGTCTCATTAAAAAAAATTACGTAATTATAATTTATTTTGTTATAAGTTGTTTTATCACTAATAGTACTTTAAGTGTGATTTATATCTTATACATTTACATAAAATTTTTGAATAAGATAAATGGTCAAACATGTGTGAAAAAGTCAACAGCGTCATTTATTAAAAAACGGAGGTAGTATATGACATTGTGAACTCAAGGCATGACATCCCATTTATCTTATTAGAAAATTAAGTAAAAACATGTCATTTATTTTTGTCATGACTTGTTTTATCATTGAAATTACTTTACATATGACTAATATTTTTGTATTTTTAGACTAAATTTCCGAGTAAAATAAATGATCAAACGTCATATTAAAAATCAATATCGTCATATATTTTGAAACGGATGAAATATTACTTTTTAAGTAAAAATTGGTTCTCTAATCGACTCTTCGGTCATGAATTATAGGCACCATGAGTGAAACTCACACGGTCACACCAAGCGTGCAATGGGGTGTTTTAGAGGTATCGCAACTTAACGTCATGCAAGCAAGAACTGAAGAAAGTACTTTGAAAAAAATCATTCATATATATGCGCAAATTCCTACACATATCGTTTTACGACGATCTTAATTTTCACATATGAACAAATTCCTCTGTACAAAACAGAGAGGAGACTCATGGCTCCTGGGGCTGGGATCTACTGGCTAGAAGCACCGGAGGTGTGCTAGGCTGCTAGCCATCTAGGTTTGAATCATCCCTTGAAATTTACAAACGGGGTAAAATCTAGTATTGGAAAAAAAATATAGGATTTTGGTAAGAATACATATGCAAAAGTATACATGAAACCCTCTAAAGCAGTGAAAGGTAGGCAGTTTTGGGAATAAACTGTAAAAGCTTTGCAGGTCGGAAACAAACATTAAAAAGCACGACAGCATATTAAAAATGAAACAGACAAATTTTCAAGATGAATTCGATTTTCAGTGCTTTGAACTATTCGCAGAACTGATATGGTTTTTCACAAATCACCATCTATATCTTATATACATATATTTTTCAAGACAATATATTGATTCCGGTCCTTAGCATATTAGTGTGATGAAGACAGCAAGCTTTTAAAGTCTGCGTGTCATAATCTTGAGGCAACGATCGTACAGCTTTTTGTCAACTTCAGATAGAGGTTCACAAATAAGATCCCATATTTGTGTATTTTTTCTCTTGCGTTGATGTTTATTAGTTTGTGTTTGCTTCATGTTTGGGAGTGTTTTATTTTTCTTTCAACTGCGCTCGCTTTGAGTAAATTGGTGTAATAATTTACTGTAATTCGTCGAGCAAAGGTCGGGATAGTATTCTATTCCATTATTAAAAAAAATAGCGTTAAATAACTAAAAAGGAGAACAGAATTCCCAGGACAGAAAGCTCCTAGCCGGCCCATCATTTACGGTCTTGCAGAGGCCCAAGCCCATGACTAGCTCGCGGGCTATCTCTGTATCTATCTAGGAATAAGTTCAGTTTGACACTAATTCGTATCACTGAACCGCAATACAGGATATCTCAACCCTCCAACTATTAAAATCAGTATAATTTGACTTTCTCGTCGGTTTTGAACGGTGGTTTTGCTGACGTGACATCCACGTGATGGTATTGACCCGGTTTTCATTCCGTGTGACGTTAACGTGACGCTTACATGACATTAGAATCGAGAATGCTAATTAGCGCAGATCTCGCGCGCGTTTCCGGCCCATCAGTCGCGTGTGATTCCGGCCAGCCCACCAGCGAAAAAGGAGTCCTACTTTTCCATGCAAAAAAAAACGTTGGGAGGCACATGCTGACGCCGGTATTGGAGCAAAAATCGTACTTCCTATAATAACCGTATTAATTAACCTTTTCTTTTTTATTGGGAATTTGAAATTACATGAAATTTTAAACTTTTAATGCAGATCATAAAACTTTCAAGTCAAAATTTGAATTTTTTTGAAGTCAAAATTGGAAAACTTTCAACTTTTCATCTAAAATTTGAAAACTTTTCAACTCAAATTAAAAACTTTCGATCCAGATTTAAAAAATTTCAACACGAAATTGAAAACTTTCAACTCGGAATTTGAATTTTTTGAAATCAAATTTTGAAAACTTTCAACTTTTCATCTCAAATTTGAAAAACTTTCAATTCAAATTTAAAACTTTCAACCCATATTTGAAAACTTTCAATTCAAAATTTGAAAACTTTCAATCCAGATTTGAACACTTTCAACCTAGATTTGAAAACTTTCAAGTCAAATTTAAAAACTTTCAATTCAAAATTTGAAAACTTTCAAGTCAAATTTGAAAACTTTCAAGTCAAAGTTAAAAATTTTCAATTCTATATTTGTAAAGAGGTATGCGAAAGATTAGAAAAAAAATAGGAAGAAAAAAAAACACATCGGAAAAAAATTACAAAAAAAAGAAAAAAAAAAGGGGCGCGCGGGGCCCAGCTGACGCGCGCGCCAGCTAAATTGTTGGCGCGTACGCGCGCGCTAGGAGCCCCCCATTAGAATTAACAAAATATGTGGAACTCATTTATCATTCACACAAATGTGGGCCCACATGTCATTCTCTTTCCTTCTCTTCTTCTTACTCCTCCCTCCCCCCCTCCTCTCTCTCTTTCTTTCCACTTCCTCTTACCCTTTGGGCGGCGGCAGGCAATTGAGGGTTCTAGCGGCAAAGTCAAGCTCGCAGCGGCGATGGCGAAGGAAACGACAACTGGTGGTTCTACGGCATGCTCACGTTGGCCATGGCGGAGGCGCTGGTGCTCTGCACCGTCTTCAAGGATGAGGTACGATTGCCGTGGTGGGCGCTCCTCTGCGCCATGGCCGTGGCCTTCTTCTTCACGCTCCCCATCGGTGTCATCTTTGGACACTAATTAGATGGGACTAAAAATTTTTAGTCCGTATCACATAAGATGTTTGGACACTAATTAGAAGCATTAAGCGCAGACTATTGACAAAAACCCATTGCTTACTACACCAATGAGGAAAATCAGTTCCATCGAAAATATGAGGCTTAGTTGAAAACCTAGCGGGAGTAGCCATGGCAAAAACTTTAGATCGATAAAAATCCAAAGAAGAAAACGAGGCTCTGATACCACTTGTAGGATCGAATCACAAGAACTAAGCCAACCAGAGGAGGGGTGATATGGTTGGTATACCAAAAAACCGAAAACTTTTAGCGGAAATAAAAGTTACCCTCGAAATCGATGGAGATCGATCTAACCGAGAGGATGCCGCCGGTCTTACCGGTGTTGAATCTCCGGTCTAAGCGTCGAAGCTGCTCGCCGCGCCTGTCGCCGCCGCCGGTCATAACCCTGAACTAATTCGCGAGACGAATATATTGAGCCTAATTAATACATAATTAGCCTATATGATGCTACAGTAAACATGTACTAAGTATGGATTAATTATGCTTAAAAAAAATTGTCTTGTGAATTAGCTCTTATTTACGTAGTTAGTTTTGTAATTAATACATTTTTAATACTTCAAATTGATGTTCAAACATCCGATGTGACAGTGGGATCCAAATACCACCTTAGCTGTAAATTTGGAAATTTGGAGATACTGGAGCATGAACCAGGCCGTCTCCTTCATCACAGACTTCAAACTTGGCCACTACATAAAGGCCGTGTTTAGTTTCTCTCCTATTCCCAACTTTCCATCACATTATATCACATCAAAAAATTTTCTACACACATAAACTTCTAACTTTTTTTTCAAACTCCCAACTTTCTTCAAACTTCCAACTTTTTTCAGGAACTAAACCCACCCAAAAAATTCCTCCAAGATCCATGTTTCTATTCCAGGTTATTTGCTACTACTTCGTACTAGCATCTATCGATATACTATATCATTAATATCCCAAGCCAGTAATCAAGTACTATGAATAAGACGGTGAACATGTCAGTGGCGTGGTGGCTGTTGTCGACAGTGCTGCACATCTGCGACTAGAAGCACCTCCCGGACGAATCCAGATCCGGTGCAGTCATAGAAGAGTGCAAGTTTAGCAGTTGGAACCATTTTTCATCATTGGATCAAGGCAATCAACGGCTGAAACAAATGCTACAATTGTTTTAAACAGTAATTGCTACAGTGCCTGCTATAGGAACGAACTTTGTACGGTCATTTGTGAACAGTATCAAGGAAAGATCTAGGACGTTAATTTATAATCCAATGGTGTCCTTATGACTGTATAGCCACTGCATGTGATCCCAATCCCTCCCGGACGGGAGTCCGTGGACGTGCCCGGGCTCCAGCGTGTTCTTCGACGCGTCGCTGATTTGGGGCCCCTCGAGACGCAGAGACGCAGGCGTGACGCACCGGCCCTCCTCTGCGTCACCGCCCGCCTCCCCTGCCACGCCGACCGCGTCTGCATGGCCTGCGCCGCCGCTCCCCACCGCCGGATGCCGCCGCCGCCGAGAGGCATAGGAATAAGTTCACTTTGCGCCCGCCGTCTCCTCTGCCGCCGCCGCCTCCTCCTCCGCCGCCTCCATTCACGCCAGCTCCAGCCCGTACGCCGCCGCCACTCTGGCCCCCATCCATCACCGCCGCCAACGCTTCAGCCCGGCAGCGCCCACCCTCCCATCGCCGCTTCTTGTAGAAGTCCGAAGGGGAGAGAGGGGGGATGAAGAAGAAAGACGGAGAGGATGGCATATGGGTCCCACATGTCGGGGCCCACAATTTAGTTTTATGTATGATAAATGGGTTCCAGCTATATATTTTTATCTCTAATATTACCTAAGCGCCACGTCAAACCACATATACTAGGTGAACACTACCACGTGTACTCCATGTCAACGAAACTACCCTCTAGAACCATCAAAAGAGTCAAATTGCACTGGAACCATTAAAAAAGTCAAATTACACCGGTTTTAATAATTGAGAGTCGAGATTTTCGATATTATGGTTCAAGATACAAAACGGATCTAATCACAAGTTATCTAAGTGAACTTATTCCATCTATCTACACTGCGTCAGCAGCCGTCGGCGATTCGGTCGGCCCTGCAATCCACGACGAGATCTTCACCCTGCACAGCGGGCAGCTATCGCTCTTCTTCATCCACGACCCGACGCACCCCCTGTGGAAAATGTGGCGGCACGCCGGCACCTCGCTGCACAGCTCGCCGTGCCTGAGCTCCTCCAGGCAGACGGCGCACACCAGCGTCTGCGTCTCCGACGACGACGTCCTGCCCTGGGCCTGCGCGTACGGGAAGTAGGGCAGCGCCGCCTTCGCTGCCGCCGGCGCCACTCGCTGCTGGCCCGGGGGCGCCTCCACCACCCGCAGCATCACCACCCGTCCTCCGACTTGGGCGTCCCGTTGAGATGATGACCGAGGTCGTCGGCGGTCGTCCTCGCAGCAGCACATGATCGCCACGATAAGGCACAGGACGAACGCCACGTCAACCACGAGCATAGCCACCTCCCCCAAACTCAACGCCATGGCGGCCGGCCTGGATGTGTTGCGCTTGTCCGTCCGGCCGGGACGTCGATTTTTCTGCCTCTTGAAATAGCAGGATCGGTAGTCTGCTTCTGCTTGGAATATATGGGATTTGGAACTAATAGTTCAGAACTTTTAGTAGGACGAGGATGCCGAGCAGGGTTCGCCTTTCCGATTGGGTGTTGGATTCGGACCAAGTGGTGTGACATTTTTCGATATGTTTCGATCAAATTCCGGTCGAATTTCGATCAAATTCGGACCAAGAGAATCGGATTCTTGGAGCAGTTAAGGATGTAAGTTTCGGGAAATCTCATGCATGATTTTGACTCGGAAAACGTTGGTTGAACAATCGCGACACTACTCATCATTTCATCAAACACTTGTTGTTTAACTCATCCGACAATGGAGATCAGATATGACTGGGGCTCGAATCACACGAAAAGGCGACGGCGTTGTGCCGGCGCAACGGCGGCCGATCGATCTGTTGTCTGCACGTCTAAGGCTTTGGAGGCGGCGCGGCGTGGGTCGACGGCGACGCGCCGCCGCCCACGACGACGCGAGGCGCGGGGGTGGAGGCGGCGGCGGCGGTGGTGGCGTTCCCGTTCCCCTGTACGGCGCCGGCGCTCACCATGTCGGCGTAGAGGCGGTCGGCGATGACCTGGTTGGCAGCGTCGGAGGTGTGGTAGGCGTCCCAGAACACGAACGCCGTGCGGTCGTCGCAGAGCTGCGCCGTCGGCAGGCACAGCCCGCCCACCGTCGTGTCCACGTCGCAGCACGACGTGTGCGACGTCTTGAACCCGTACTTCTGCGGGTGCTCGATGAGCTCCATGACGACGGAGTAGCAGTCGGCGAGGGACATGCTCGCGCCGGGGAGCTTCGCGTTGAGCCGCTCGAGGAGGTTCCTGGCGGCGGCGTTGAACTGCACCGCGTACGCGTTCACGTCGTCCAGGCACCCGCCGTCGTCGGAGAGGACGCGCTGCGACGGGATGCAGCCGAGCGGGGCGAGCCCGCTGAACCACACGTTGCGCGCCCCGAGATCGTACAGCCTCTGCGATATTCGACAACAAATTCCATTTGGCCAAAGCAACAACAAAGTGTTCGTCCCAACAAAGATCAATGTGTGTCGATTTCTTACTGTGAGCTGCCTGTCCATGGTGTCCATGAGGAGGCCGATGAACTCTTCGTGGGTGTACACGATGCCGTCCGCCATGAACGGCCGCAAGAAGTTGTTGATGTAGTCGTTGCTCCCTGCAATTAATCAAGTTCGCCCCGTGTCAGATTGATCACTAATTAATCCCCTTTAGTAAGTGACAGAGCTGAGCTGAAGAAATTCTATTACCAAGGCCGACTTGGAAGATGGCGCCATTGACTACCTCCTCTGCGGCCTTCTTGCCAATCTTGGCGATCATGGCGTTCTTGATCTCCTCGAACGACGATATCTGGTTGTCGAACGACAGGTACTGAACCTGCAAAAACAGCAAGGCCACCCACATTCATGGCACGAACTGCAATCATGCAATGTCGAGGTAATCTTTTGCTGCAAAGAAGAGGAACACGTCGCCCGTGGCTTACGAAGTAAATGCCGGTCTCGTTGAGGAGGCCGGCGCCGCCGGACGCGAAGTTGACGCCGCCGAGCACCTCGTCGTCGGTCATGTACAACGACAGGAACGGCGGCGGCGGCGGGACGCCAAACTTGGCGGCTGCACGCACGCACGCACAGAAACATCACATATCTTGCCGTTCGTGCCGAGAGAAATCCAAAGCTTTTTCTGTCTGTCACTTGCTTACCCATGATGTCCCCGATGGTCCTGCCATTGGTGAACCGCCCGGTGGGGAATCCGGTCTCGTAGTCGACGCCGTACCAGGGGTAATCGGACTTCGCGAGCGAGAGGATGAGGTAGTTGTTGTTCCCGACGTCGGACATCGAGTCGCCGAAGATGTAGATCACTGGCTTCTTGGATGTCACCGCCGCGGCGACGCCGCCACCGCCACTGATAACCATGGCGACGACGAGAACGGCGACGGCGGCGAGTGCTGCCATTGCTAGCTCCTTTTCTTTCTTTGTGTGTGACAGTGTGTGTGCTGGTGATTCTTGGCCTGTGTTGCATGGACCGTGGCCGCATGTTTTATAGTCTTGGACAAATGGCCATTTCCTGCAAGTTTGGGTGTTCTTTTTTTTTTTTTTAGAAAATGGTTTGTTTGTTTGATAGGGTGAAGTGAATGAATTGCAACAGCTAATCGTGTGGGAAAAGGCTTGGAAGTTTAAACCAGGGAGAGAATTCAATTGGCATGTGAGCAGAGGTAGCTGTGGTTGTTGTTGAATTTGTTTGTGCACTCTGTTCACCCTGCTAGAGTTTTTCTTTTACGGATTTTCTTTCGCTTGGTTCATAGAACGAGAATTGGTTAGGAAAATGGCATGTTGGCAACCTGGGATGCAAAGATTTGCTTTCTTTCCGTTCGAGAAGGAGCACGGCGCTAGGTGAACGTTGTTGAGTTTTTTTAAAAAAAATGATGGTGGCTGTAAAAATGGATTGTATAAACTCCAATGCAACTATGCAAGTAACCATATGTCTCCAGGCTAAATACTGCTCCCATCGCTCCATATGAAGGTATTTTAGGTTTTTCCTAATTCGAACTTTTTAAACATTGGCCATTTTTTTAAAAAAAGATTAATACTATAATACTAAATAAATACAATAATAAGACGCGGTTAATGATGGATTTTAATTAACAAAACACTAGGGTTATGTATACTTAGTTAAAATTAGATAAGTTTGACTAAAACGCTTTACACTATTGAACGGAGAGAATATTAGCAATAAAATAATAAACATGGTTTTAAAAAACCAGTTTGCCGATACTACCAGTTAGCAAATAAAAATAAAGTATAGTGGCACCATATGTCAGTACCCTGCCTCTTTCTCTCAATCCCTCCCTCTTTCTACTGCAGCGCGACAATCATGAAGATAAATATAACCGGTCATCGGCGGTGACGATGACACCGCTTCCCAGTGGCTGATTCAGAAAATTGATTCATTAGTGTCATAACGTGCTTATTAGTGTTATAGTATGCTAATTATATTTAGATCATAGTATTATAATATATGGATAACAGTTTCGTTATATGTTTTACCAAAATTCATCGGTGTCGCCTGACACTGACACCGGTCATAACACTGCAGATCTTCCCCCTGCCGCTTCCTTCCCATCTTTCCGTGCCTCCCCGTCGCTGGCCTTCCCATATCCTCCCTCTCCGTCGTGCTCACTGCCTACCTATCGAAGGCGTGTGTAATCCGGTGAGAACCGAGAAAGGGTCTTTGACGATCTAGGCACCAAGGGCGTTGTGCGGGGATGAGTCGAACTCCTCCCTGATCTGACGCGGAGAAAAGGCATGGTGGTGTAAGACGGCCCATGGCAAACATGGCGGCTTGAGGATGCCATGGTAGCAACACAGGCTCATTGCTCAAGCTCGCCCTCTCTCCTCGTATCGACTGTCACCACAACTCAAGCTCGATCTATCCATGGTGCGTCGGTGCCAAATCGGGTCACCATCATCTCTCTGATCCGTTGAATTCTCATGATGCCTAGGCCACTTAGGGCTCCACTGGTCGCTGCTCCGAGCTCCCTTTACCACCGATCTTGAATTTGTCGAACCTATGCCTCCTATGTGCCACCAGGTCACCAACAGAGCCAAGCTCTATTGGCTGTGTCGGTGGCAGCTCCTAGTTCCACGGTATGGAAAACAAGACTAGCCGACCTTAAATCAGATCAACTCGAGCGAGCAGCAATGACAGAAGAGTTAGAACCGAAGGCTGTGTTTAGTTTAGCACAAAGTTTGGATTTTGGTTGAAATAGGAGATGATGTGACTGAAAAGTTGTGTGTGTATGACAGGTTGATGTGATGGAAAAGGACTGAAGTTTGGATCCAAACTTTGGATCTAAACACACCCGAAGGTGAGAAGAGGACAGATTGACGATGTGTCTGCTAGCTCGGATAGAGTGCCACTGGTGACTTAAGCACTGGCATGCCCGCGACTCGACAAGAGAATGGGGTTTTTTTTTAACTATTTGCCACCCTTACGGAGTGCCACTATTGAAATACCACTCTTCCAAAATTTTTTACACAAACACCACATGAGAGAGGTATTTTTCCTAACTAAAGTGCCATATCAGTAAGAGGGACTTGAAATGACCTTTTTACCCCTAGTATGAAAAATATGAGAAATTATATACAAACATATATAAGAAAATATTATTTATTATATCTCAAAAAGAGTTATCGCGGGCAAATATACGTCGAACAGGCTCACCATAATTTAATAATAGATTCAACATAGGGTGAACTTGTTCAACATATATTTATCCATGATAACTCTTTTTAGATATAATATAGTGCGTACTTACTATGTTGAATCTATTATGAAATTGTGGTGATCTTGTTCAACGTATACTGCGTGTGGTAACTCTTTTTTAGATACAATATATTGTGTTGAATCTATTATTAAATTGTGGTGAACTTATTCAACGTATATTGCCCGTGATAAATCTTTTTTAGATATAATGTACTATGCTAAATCTATTATTAAATTGTGGTGAACTTGTTCAATGTATATTTGCCCGTGATAACTCTTTTTTAAGATATAATAAACAATATTTTCTTATATATGTTATATATATATTCTCTCATATTTCTCGAACTAGGGGTAAAAAGGTCATTTTAAGTCCCCCTTGTTGACATGGCATTCTAGTTAGGAAAAATATCTCTCTCATGTGGTGTTTGTGTAAAAAAATTTGGAAGAGTGGCATCTCAATAGTAGAGGCACTCCGTAAGAGTGGCAAATAGTTAAAAACCCCAAGAGAATGGTGACTAACCGCTCAGCCCCCACCGACCTCCCAAGCCACAGACTGTCGTCCCCACCGCGTTGATGAACCATGTCATCTGAAATTGCTCTCAAAATATACCTGTTTTGCTTGTTTGAGAGGTGCAGCTCAAACTCAGGTCATAGCTCAGGGTCGCTTAATGGACTTATCCTTTGAATCGGTGCTCCGGCCATAGCCTTGTTACTGCAAGACATAGCCCATTGAGCTTGTGATATTGGCCAGGCCTAATCGTTGTTTTGGGCCTAGTAGACTTGTAGAAATTGATGCTTACAGCATGGCTTGTTAAGAGTGTCGGTTCAGACTAAACTCGGGGCATCAAGGTTATCCGGCCGGCGAAGTCTTGCGAAATGGACCGTCGTACTCTCGTAGACGTGTCCTTTCTCTTGTTCGTTGTGATACGTGGGCATTTCTGTCATTGGCAAACCGCACCAGAAGCGAATCCATCCGACGCAAACAAAGCCACTGGTAACCGCCACCATCCCAATTTACCAAAACGCCCCAGGGCAGCTACCCCCAACCCCAAAAATCACAACCGCAAACCACAGGGGAATTTAACTATTTGCCACTTTTACATTTGACAATTAACCAAATACCCTTCTTAAGATTGTACTTAAGAATTTGCCATTAGAGAGAGAAGCTTTTGTAACTTTTTGCCACTTTTTGCCCTGTGGAGTGCCACATGTGCATGCCAACATGGACCAACGTGAAAAATGACCAACCTACCCCTTCTAGCTAGTGGTAAGTTTCTCAGTTGCTAAGCCTGTCCGCATTGAATCTTAGTCATAATTCATTCACTGGAAAGATACCAAGAGAAACCAGCAACCTGCCCAATCTTCCCATTTTACCCTTTTAAATTTATAAGGCAACAACATCAATGGCACCATTCATGTTACAGTCAGTTCATTAACTTTTTGAGGCGGCATTCGGATGTCTTTTTTCTAACTTCTACTCACAGTTATTAGGACTGACCGGACCGGCGGTTGGACTGGAAAAAACCGAAACCAGGGCCTCCGCCGGTCTGAGTTCTACTCCCTCATTTTTTTCGCATGTTTCTTTAATAACTTTTTAAATAAAATTAAGTTACTTTAAAAATATATATTAATCTATTCTTTATTTATTAAAACTCAAACTAAATTAGTCATGCGCTAATTCTTTGCTCAGTTTTACGTGAAGAGAGAAATATTTCCAAACCATGCTATCGTACACCTTAATCGAGCTCACTCCAGGTGGCACCATCCCAACAATACCAGCCAAATTGGAATACCGTTTAGCAGCTTGAAAAACGTACACATGAAAAACGAGAGAGATGAGTTGTGAAAGTGAACAAAAGAACTCAATCTAAGTATCGTTTTGAAAGTTTGTTATAACCATCTCAGTGAATCTATTCCTTCAAATATTGATTTGTTAACTGATGTGGAGGTACTCGGTCTTTAATATAGTACCTCATAAAAGTGAACAGCATCCATACCGATGCAACTGATTCGCGAAAACAATTTGTCCAAATATTATTCCTAACTCAGCTTATATTACAGACATTACTAACAAGGGTAGATTAGTCATTTCGTGTGCCTGGTCCATGCTGGTATGTATATGTGGCACTGAACAGTGCAGAAAGTGGCAAAAAATTACAAAACCTCCTCTCTCCAGTGGCAAATTCTTAAGTGCAAATCTAAGAAGGGTATTTGGTTAATTGCCAAACCTCAAAGTGGCAAATAGTTAAATTTCCCCAAACCACATGCCCTGCCGCCGTCTTCCGTCTGCCGTCTGCCGCGCCATCTCCCCCAAATCACCGGGCAAAATCGAAAATTTCCCCCCAATCTTCCTCGGCACGGCGCGCTCTCTTCCCTCCCCTTATCCGCTCCTCCTTCCCTCGCAAGCCACCGCCAAAATCCATTCCAATTCAAAATCTCCCCACCCCCCCCCCCCCCTCAAATTCCCCCCACCCCCGCATTATAAATGCCCCCTCTCCCCCTCCCCACCGCTCCCCACGCCGCCGCCGCCGAATCCCCACAACCCCAAATCCCCATCCAGAAACCACCCCGATCCGCGACGAAGATGCCGGCCGCGCCGACGCTGGTGCCCGCCTGCGACCTGGAGGAGCCGCTGCTGGCGGAGTCGTCCGAGCGATTCTCGATGTTCCCGATCAGGTACCCGCAGATCTGGGAGTTCTACAAGAAGGCGGTGGCGTCGTTCTGGACGGCGGAGGAGGTGGACCTCTCCGCCGACGCGCGCCACTGGGACGCCGCGCTGTCCCCCGACGAGCGCCACTTCATCTCCCACGTGCTCGCCTTCTTCGCCGCCTCCGACGGCATCGTGCTCGAGAACCTCGCCTCCAGGTTCATGTCCGACGTGCAGGTCGCCGAGGCGCGCGCCTTCTACGGATTCCAGATCGCCATCGAGAACATCCACTCTGAGATGTACTCGCTGCTGCTCGAGACCTACATCCGCGACGGCGCCGAGAAGGACCGGCTGTTCCGCGCCATCGACACCGTCCCGGCCGTGCGCCGCAAGGCCGACTGGGCCATGCGCTGGATCGACGGCGGCGAGCGCTTCGCCGAGCGCCTCGTCGCCTTCGCCTGCGTCGAGGGGATCTTCTTCTCGGGCTCCTTCTGCGCCATCTTCTGGCTCAAGAAGCGGGGGCTCATGCCGGGCCTCACCTTCTCCAACGAGCTCATCTCCCGCGACGAGGGCCTGCACTGCGACTTCGCCTGCCTCCTCTACGACCTCCTCCGCGGCAAGCTCGACGAGGCGCGCGTCCGCGAGATCGTCGCCGACGCCGTCGACATCGAGAGGGAGTTCGTCTGCGACGCGCTCCCCGTCGCGCTCGTCGGCATGAACGGCGACCTCATGAGCCAGTACATCGAGTTCGTCGCCGACCGCCTCCTCATGGCGCTCGGCTGCAAGAAGATGTACAACGTCGCTAACCCCTTCGACTGGATGGAGCTCATATCCCTGCAGGGCAAGACCAACTTCTTCGAGAAGCGCGTCGGCGACTACCAGAAGGCGTCCGTCATGTCGAGCCTCAACGGCGGCGCCTCCGCCAACCACGTCTTCAGCATCGACGAAGACTTCTGATTTGCCAATCTCCTCGTGTACATCTCCAACCCTCGCAGTCACTTGCTCTCTGCCCCCCCTTACTAGTAGTAGTAGTAATACATGCGCGTGGTGCTCCCTAATGTTATAGTTGGTGTGTTGCTGGTTCTTGTTGGTGATGTATCCTAATGAATTATGAATCCAGTTGTTTAGTATCAGCTGCCCGTGTCCTGCACGCAGGGTGTTCGACGAAATGGCTGAGGCCTAAGCTAATGTGTGCGCGCAGCCAGGGCGTTCGACCAAATGCCTACACGACGCCGTGCCAGTCTGGGAGTGCAGGCAAGGCGTTCGGTGAAATGCCTGGGAGGATAAGGGGTTGGGGACGGATTAGGGTTTTAGGAGAGCGCGGGACCATCTCCTGGCGGCTGGTTGCGGCGCGCCAGATTTGCCGGCCTTGGCGCCTGGCCCAGTAGTACACAGAATCTACATGTGAATCGCAGCTGTAACTTTCAGTTGGATAATATTGTAACGGTGAGATTTCAGTTTTTGTACCTATCTGTCAATCTTTTGTTAATCTGTAGTACTAATATCAATCTACCTTTGGTATTTATCTCTCAGTACTAAAATATAATAACTTCTGAATGGAGAGAGTATTATGAAAGGAAAATGTCATGTGTAATGCTATTTTGCGTGACATTAACAACCACTTTCGTGTGATCATGGCACGAAAAATGGCCTCATGTTTGTATGGCAGAAATGCGCCCACATCAGTGGTGAAATCAAAAGGTCCAGCATCCATCCATTCAGCTTTCCAGGCTTGTTACATGACGGTGTTCCGTACTCGCAGCTGCTTGGGAAGAGTGGCGCACGCTTTAGTTGTTTATGACCTAGTAGCTGTACATACACCCGCTCCATTAACTAGTCCGGTCCTTATCGCAAACCAGATTGGAAAACTGGAAGCAGGGCTCGCGGGAAAACAGGGCAAAAGTGAAGAAGGGCTTTTAGGTTTCGCGCCAACTGGGATTTGGGCGCGGCGGCGCGCGCGCCCACTGACGCTCCTCTAGTCCTCTTCCCTCCAAACCGTTTCTCTTCTCGCGAACATTTTCTAATGCAACGGTGAGCAATTCAGAATCTTGCCCAGATGCATGTGCCCCAGCCAGTTATCGGAAAAAGTACACAGGAGATCTTGAACACTAAAACCGGATATGGCGCATCTCCCAACTTATAATACCAGTGCAAATTAGATCCCTTATCGGTATTGTTCTCGGTTTTAGCTAGTGTGCCTCTTTAACTAGGTCTTCGTCTCATGTGGTATTAACGTGACGCTTACGTGGCAATTGATCCCGGAAAAAAAAAACGATGGGCCCACAAGTCAATTGCACTAGAAAAATAAAAAAAAGGGGCCCACGTGGGACCCACATATCATCCTCATTATCTCCTCTCCTCTTTTGGTTTTCTCCTTCTCGCCTTCGTCGCTCGCTGCCGGCCTGCCCGCCTCCCTCTCCCTCGTGTTCCTCGCGGTGCAGTACATCGCGATGCTCCTCACAGCCTTTGCCGTTGTTGCATGGGAGCCCCACCACCGCAACCGACCTAGCTGCGGCGGCACCACCGGGCACGGGCGGTGGCAGGAGCAACCACCTCCTCGAGAACGGATCAAGCGACACAGGGCGTGAGCCACAGCGACCGGCAGCGTGGTGGAGGAGGGAGTCGGCGACTATGTGTTAACGACCAAATTTGGTAATCCAAGGATCAGATATGAAAGAGGAATCGAGACGGAGTTCGAGATAGAGATTGTCTCGGAAACAGAGCGAGGATCGGCTGAAGTCCGAATCGGCTACGACTAAGATCGGCAGAGTTCGAGTCGGACAGGGTTAGCCGATTGAGCCGAATCCGACAATATGACACGGCATATGTTGTCGGGTTAGGTTGACACGCTTCATGATGATTGCCACGCATGGATAGAGTCCTGAGAAGGCAATTGTATCTATTAATTACGATATTTTATATAATTTCCTTAGAGATATGTTTAGGCAAAAGTCTGTCGCAAGGACTTATGGTATGTCAGAGATAAGAGTCGTGTCCGATATGGAAATATTTTGTAATTCTCGGGTATAAATAGACCCGAGCCCCATGTAATCAAACTAACACACATTCAATACAATCTCGGCCCATCACCACCCTTTTTACTTTTGTTTTGTTTCGACGAGTTCTTGCTTTCGGGTTGAGTTGCATCGGTTTCGATTTTCAACAAGAGGTAAAACTTGTTATGGCGGCTTGCGTTCTCGGGATTAGTGCTTCCATATTTATGATACTCTAATCTTGTTTATGTAATTCGTCGAGTTATCATATATCTTATATAATCTCTGCCAATATCGCTATCTAACCTCTATTCAGCTAACATCTATTACTAGAAGGCAGCCGATTAGGTTAAATATCGATGTTGACTTAGATTATATATGATATCTACCACTCTATGAAACATCCAACGGCTTGATTGTCTAGATATTGTTCTTCTTTTTACACTTATAGCTGCATCAGTTGAGTTTGATCTTATGAGTCGTGATTAGAATCTCAATCTCTAGCCTGCCTTTGGTTGCCGATTAGGGTAGCATTGGGGTTTCAGCCAATCTTACCTGATTTGACTATATTTGTCTTATGTGCTTAGTTTACATGTTAAATCTGCCCTTTATGTTAAGATTTTGTTGCATTTAAGTATATTAGGCTTTTGTTTGGTATATTCTACTTACTTTAATATCTTAATATAGAGTGGTATCGGAGTACTAGCCGATACATGCTAGATCTATCTGATCGGCTATGCTATGAACATACATAGCCTCATTATTAGTATATATTTCGATCTAAGTGATTTATACTGTCTCGGCATGGTGACCGATCTTTCCCAATCACTTGATTTAAGTATATATCGATATAAGGTTTATATATTGCTAATATCTACAGCCGATCGAGTAGATTTAGTTCTTTCTTACTTCTTAATGATTGCCGATCATTGCATATATGACATCAGCTCAAAGATAAATGATATGTCATCGGCAATTAGCCGATCGGCTATCGTTTATAGATTTAACCGTGGTTTCTTTGTCTTTGTTTCTTTTTGATTGCAGGATCAAATCAACTAGCACGCTCACACACCCAAAGGCAAGTTTTGGACCTGCACTGGAGTTAAGCAGATCTCCCAGGCCTCGTGTTTTTACATCAACACTATGACATGGGAGCAGGTGATGTGGAGGAGGGCATTGGCATCAGGCATGCCATGTTGTCGGCCATGGCTTCCTCCGCTAGCGGCCTTTTTCCACCACACGCACCACCATCACCCCCACCTCGTCGGTGACGACGATGACAAACTCTCTCCATCCTTCCCCTTCCCCTCCTCCGCCCACCCACCCCCCTCCTCCCACCTCACCAACAACGACGACCGCATCAACGCAAGCACCTCCTTCCCATTCGCCCCAAGCGCCGCTGCCGTCGCTCCCCTCATCCAACTCCCTCTTCCTCGGCGTCCTCTGTCACGCCCAGAAATTCCCGAATAGAATTCCAAGCAGAATGTGCATTAAAATCCCCGTCCAGGACCAGCCGGGGTACACAAACGACAATGTTGACATTCAGATCCACGTCTTACAAACATCATAAAGTCTTACATAAATGCAGCGGAAGAAAAGAAAAACAACAGGAGCTAAGCCTTGACTAAACTGCAGCGGGAACACCACTCCACAGGCATCCTCGACGGCACGGACGAAGCCTACTCCTCAGAGAAACCTTCATCTGACCCGAACTCGAACTCTGGGATTGGGAAAAGTAGAGCAAGACTGAGTACTACCCACTGTACTCAGCAAGTCATACCAGAATAGGGGTATGATGCAGGGAATCATCAAAGAAGAGCTAAAGTGGTTTATTTGCATAAAGCGAGCATTTATAAACAGAGATTGAAAGATTTAAACAGTTGTAATAATTAATTAGTATTAATCATCCGCTGTCCAACGCTAACCCACGTTGCGACAGGCCCAACCATCCACCTAAACTACCCAAATTCAAAAGATTATACTAGGATGAGACTAATCACGGTGAATCTGGTTGACCGCCCATAACCGCGGGCACGGCTATTCGAATAGTTTTACTCTGATCAGAGGTGTACAACTGTACCCACAAGACACAGCCCCACGACACGTTTCCGTGCGCCGACATGTCACCACGACATATCGGAAAGAGGCTGTGACAGGACCATTCGCATAACCCCCTCTAACCAAGCACACCACACCTCAGGTTTCACCCCCACTCCTCGCAAGGCAGCGGGCAGTCCCCTCTCGTGCCTAGGTGAATCCGGAAGCCGCATAGGCCGTCGCAGGGCCCATCCAAACTCCATCACGCCCACCCTTGCCTGGATGCGTCGGCTAGAGGAAAGCTACACTACAAGCCCAGCCGTTGCCCACGCTGGCTTGTGGTAAGTACGATAAGTTCTTCCAAGGCATCCCGCGAACCGGTCCTTAACTGCCATGGGTGCGACCAGCAAAACCATGCACCCACAGCCCACCATGTGATTCATTTTAATTAACCAACACCAGAGCGGTGGTACTAATCCAACATTATCATTAGAACCAACAGTCTAAACATTAATATGATTTTCCCCATTGTGAACTAGTTGAACTAAGCATGGCTAAGCAATTCCTAGTCCAAACTCTAATCATGTTATAACCCCAAGCTAACAAAGGAGCATGATATCCAAAAACATGGCTGTAACAATAGGTAACCATCCCATAGTAATATTATAAAACAATGCAATATTTGAAAGAAAACAATAGAGCATTTGCAATATAGGATCAACATGTTCAAGTGACAAGCATGACTTGCCTTGCTCTGCTGCTGGAGGAACCTCGGCGACTATCTCAAAGTACACCGGAGCGTCGGAGGAATCGGAATCTAGCGACATACAAAGCAAACATTGCAAACATGCTATAAGACTACTGAAACAGGGAACAAAACCATTTTTAATGGATTCTACACATTTTTCTTGATTTACTGAGACTTGAATGGGCTTAAACGGAGCTCGGATGAATTAGTTATGAATTTTAGAAGATTCACTGTGTTTATTACTATAAAAGAAAAACCTTAAATCATTTATTGCGCAATATATTCCAGGGCTGACGTCAGCACGGAGGGAGGGGGGTGCGGCGCCGACAAGCGGGGCCCGCATGTCAGCGGCGCACGGGTGGCCGGTCTACCGTGGACCGGGACCACGCGGGTGATCCACCGCCGGTCCACGGGATCGACGGCCCGGATCGGCCCGGGGCCGATCGGACGGTGCGGCGGCGACCAGGCTAGGCTCGGCTCGGCACAAAGCCGGCCGACCGGTCACGGCGACGGCGCGCGCACGCGCACGCGCGTTGCCGACGACGGCAACCGCCGGCGGAGACGGCGGCGCAAGGCGGCGCCGAAGGGCGGTGATGCTAAAGCGACGACTAACGGGCGGCGGCGCTAAAGCGGCGGCTAGGAGGGAGAGGGAGGGGAAAAGAAAAGGGAGGGGTGCCTCACCGAGGGT